AGGTGTCCATACGTTACGATTAATCCATCTACTGCAGCTGATCTTTTTTCTTTCTTATGTAATATAGTATAAAATTGCGTGCTAAATTATCGGATACAACACACGCGCGCGCGCGCGTACGCAAAAAGAATACTACTACAGCCGGGGGAATGTGGACGAGTGAAAATCGTGGGTGACGCCGCGATGTAAACGCAGTCACTGGGAAAGTGGTTAAATGAGGAGATACATGTGAGTGCTTAAACGAGTGGATGTTCAACCACTCGACCAGCGACTACGTCTTCATCGTGTTAACGTCCGCCAGGCTCGTCTAGCCTTTCCGCTCTCTGTGCGCGCTTTCGAGCACTTATTAATATTACATTAGTTGGCGTATAATTGTTCTTATTAAATACAGTTTCTCTATGAGTCTCTGTGGAAAAAAAAATAGTCACTTCTCTTCTTCAGAGAATTCGACACGTACGATCAATCGTTCGAACTCGTTGCTTTTGATTTTTTTTTTCTTAATTGTCCCCAAGATACGATAAACCGACGGTAAATCCGGCATTAAATTCTCCGCTTATTACACCGAGATTTCGAGGAATCGCCGTTCTATTCCACGAGCTGCAAAATCGGTCGTGGGTTCACGTATTAAAAGCCAATAAGTTCGAACTGGCACACTGCCATTTCAATCTCGTGGGCCTTGCTCGAGGAAACTCGTCGACGAGCCGTCTTCCCGTCCCACGTCCTTGATTAATTGCAGGATACAAGTTGATTGATTCCGCGTACAATGGGTAAACAAAATATTCCCTTTCGCACTCCGACCCCCCGCCCCCTCGTACAACCCCTTCGGCGTAAGCGACGTTATTTCATTCTCGATGGAGATTCCGATATAATATTTTCAATCGTATGTTATGTTTGACGACGATTAATTACATCACGAAAATATTTATCTCCCACCTCGCTGAAAGCGCGTTGTGTACCGCATGTATCTAATATCGAGAATATTTCACCGATTATTCAGGAGATATTTTTGCGATTATATTATTACCTTGTGATCTATCAATCTCGTATCAATCGTAATCAATCTCGTAACGCGTACCGCGTGTCTGTAAATAATAGCAAGGCCATTGGAAGAACGATATCACTTACAAGCGACATTTTTCAACTACCATAGATGAATATCGTTTAACACGACTGCGACTACTTGTGTATTTTTCATCGATGCGTCACGCCAGAGTTAACCAGGGCCGAGCTACACTTCACGATTACGGAAATATGTTGTAAACATAAACGCGCCGGCCGAGTGTGCTTCGCACTCGTGGCTTCCTCAAAACGACTTGAACATCGATCTTTCCGTAAAATTTGCTCACGCGTCGTCCCGCCGTGCAACTTTTTTCGCGCGGTTTTTGCGTTGAGTTGACTTTACAACCAAGATCCAAACGAAAGTTTCCTCCAGATAGAGTCCCGCCGGGAATTGACTCTGGAATAAGATTATGTTATTCGTTATATTTCCGCAATATTTCCGTTCATTATTTTCGAGCGATTTCAAGCAGCTCGGATATATAAGAAAACCGCCGACGCGCGTTATTTTTCAATTTGCCCCGCTCCCGCACCGATCTGATCGTATAAGGAAACATTAAAGCAGTCATTAAAATATTTATTGCTGGCCCCGTGAGGAAACTGTATATTTTCGAAATTAGTTTCTAAGGAGCTTATAAATATTTTATGACCGTCGTGTTGAACCGGCTCGACCTTTAAAGATAATTTACACGCGCAAATATAGTTGACACTGGACTGGTATTTTGCTGAGATATTTTACCGACGCGGAGATAAACGAATCGTGCGTCGTTAAAATTGCGCAACTTCAAAAATCCATCATTTCGTCTCTCTCTCTCTCTCTCCCCCTCTCTCTCTCCCTCTGCTAAAAATCCCGTGTTCGTTGGGAAAATCTCGCCGGTTAAAATTTCATAGTGTTTCAAAACGTCGCGTTCAGTCATCGTGTACATTAATGTTTCGCGTGCGATAAAAGCGAGAGAACGCTGCCGTTTTGCAAATAGAGACGTGCTCCCTTTCCCTAATTTTCCCGAAAATTTCATTCCAGCGCGGAGCGACACGAATATCCGTCTATTAAAGGATGCGATGCATCGTCATTGCCGTCACCGTCACCGCCGACGTTGGGGAAATCGACGGCACGATAAGCGGCTACATGCGATGATGCATGTGCAAAGCGCACATTCGCGTGCTCGCAGTTTTACGCGATGGGCGGCGGCGACGGCGGCGGCGTCGGATCGCGCGACATGCAAAGCGAGCGCGCTCTCGCGCGGAGTAATTCCGCGCGATAACATTATGAATAATGCAGCGGCAGGATTTGAAGACCGACGGAAATGTACGTAACGATTACGCGCATTCCGACGCCCGGCGTCGCGTTTTCCCGACCGTTCCGGAAAATCCGCGTACCATACGCTCGTAAGCACCGTCGTTCCGCTGATCTATATTCGCATTTTCCGCCGACGAATACCAAAACGCGCGAATCCGCGGAATTTACGAGGCGCGCCACGCCGGTTAGCGCTTTTTGCTCCCGTGCAAATTAGCGAGATTAATAAGATGCCTGCATCGTACAATGGTAACGAGGACGGGCAGGCAGGCTTATTGCGGATATTATATGCCGCGTCAGCTAACGCCCGGTCATTTCGCAAAATGTTGCCGAACGTACCGGGAAAATGTTCGTATTAAATATCAACAAACGAGCGGACGCGTGTCCGCCTTTTTTCCTCTTTTTCATCGCAAAGTGAAATATTCATTATTTACCGGTCACGAGTTATACTGAATTGCGTTTTACTTTATGCTAGTATTTGCGCTTATCTTTTATCCGTATATTATCTATCCGTATTTTGTTGTAAAGAAATAAAACGTGCACGCAAAAAGAGGGATATCATGCACAGCAGAGATAAAGAACGGTCAACACATCGCGTCGAGCAAATATTCGAACACACACATGCGTCCTGATAATTAATTGGCAGATTACGGGGCATAGAGGATCTTGAGAGGGGACGTAATAAGAGACACGAGTCACGAAATATGAGGAAACTGACGTTTCCAGGATCAATGAGGTCAAGACTCAACGCGAGGACCGGAGGATCCAAAGACCCGACAATATTAAGATTCATGGATCCGGGAAATTAAAGGTATCAAAATTCAATGAAGCGGAAAGTACAGAATGCAGGAATTGACGAGTACAGAAAATCGAGAACGGAAAAGTTGGAGGATCCAAGAACTCCGGATTATAAAGATTTCAAAATCCGAGAGGAGTCGAGGACGTAAGAATTTAACTCGATAATTTAAGAGGTCGAGGGTTGCACCGCGACGGGGTGCTCACCCTTGATGGAGGGTGCAGAGAGAACGCGAGCTCTGCAGTGTCTTGAGAACGAAGAGGGACACGATCGAGCGGTCCTCTCGGATTCCTCGGATTTTAGATTGGAATTCCTAATATCTTAAATTTTTCCATTTTTTTCAAACATCATTATCGAAAGTCTTCTTAAATTCCAGGTCTTAGTTCTCCTGAATTCTATAGCTGTCTCGGATACTCTAGACTTAAATTGTTCAGATTCTTGAGAGAGAGGGGGAGAATATCCTGGAGTATATATATTCATAACTATATTTCTTTGACTAGACACATTTAATCTCTAAATATCGAGCTATTTAAATTCTGGATTCGCGAATCGCGTGGATTCCATTGATTCCAAGAATTCCGTGTCCGTCAATCCATCATCATAGGTTCTTTGACGCTAAGAAGAAGCCACAGCTTTCAAGTAGAATCTATAATTCAAGGGATCAAGGATCAAAACCATTTCGGATTCGAGAAACCTGAGGCTTAAAATATACCCGAAGCACCAAGGGCAATTGAAAGCTAATACATCTAAAATCGAAGTAGTCGCTACTCAAAGAACATAATCCGGGGAAAGCCCGAGACTTTTAAAGATTCCTGGAACTCGAGAATTTTCGAGAATACAGCCGACCGGATGAAGTGTAAAAATATCCGGAGCGTATAGCCAGGTAATTAAAACTAACGAGCTATTTAACCGAACAAGCTAACACGCACGGTGATCCGATGAGTAATTCAAACTAATTCAGTGACAGAAGTGTTTAGCGACCCGCCATCCACGCCGCCCGACATGATTGCACCCTGCTATCCAGATTGACATCACACGGTTACATAGGAAATAATTCGCGCTGTCGTGAAATTATGAATCAAATTATTACTCTCGCCAACCGGGCCGAAATTGTACCAGCCCATTACGGGCCGAGCAAAACCCAGCTCGACCTGAATCACCCGGGCCGGGTTTTAACGTCAAACCATTCATTATTAGATTCGGCACATTCATTAGATTTTGATCACGGATCGAAATAGCCACGCATCTCTATTAAGAGCAACGACGCTAATTACGAGAGCGATAATTGCTCGACGCTTCCGAGATCCCTCTTGCCGGGATCTTCGGTCACAGACCCAGCCCCCCTTCCTCGCATCCTACCTACTTAAGATTACTGGAATTTCTAAGGTAGTCGAGTAAAGTGCGCAGGCAGGTGCGATACCTCCATGACGATACACCCATTCATACGGCCAACCACCCGTACAGAGAGAGAGACATGGCGCTGCCGGTTGACTCGATAAATAATTCCTCGTGTCTTATCTTAATGTCGAACTACATCATCGGGTCATCATCTTCGTCTGCTGATCGAAACCGAGTGTACACTCAGCTCCCTGGACCGACGAACACGATCGTTTGGTTAAGAATTCGGACCGACCCGGCCGAACCGTTCCAACGAACCTCGCGATCTCACCCGGACCTGCATCGAACCTCAATTGTAAGACCCAGCCAGCGATATACCTAGCTACCGATCTGAACCAGGCGGGAAGACAAGATAAACTAAAATAGGTAGACAGGCAGGTAGGCGGGCAGGCAGACAGACAGGCAGGTGGGCAGGCAGGCAAGCAGGCAGTAGGTAGGTAGACAGGCAGGCGTTACCTCGCTTGGACGTGGTGTCGGCTAAGCTGCTAATAAATCCAGGTACGGCAATCACGAGAACAAAGAGTCCACAGTGTAGCCAGAACATGTTTACGTCTTAACAACATTGTTTAATTCCATATTACATGACGCTCGTGAAACACTGCGATGGCGGCTGCTGCGATCCCGACAGGCTTTACAGGATTACTCATTACGCGCATAATCACCGACGTCTACCACCTCCTCGCTCATCAGACGCACGCGGAGCCGAGCGGAGCAGATTAAAACGGATCAGAGCGGTCCTCACGAGCCGGTCCTCCCGATGCTGCTACACCGTTATCGTAACGTTATCTGCGGGACGCGAGACGCGCGCGCGCGCGCGACTACAGATATATATATATGTATATATATATATATATATATTCAGCGACGAAAAAAACGACAGAAAAACAGCGAGATGGACACGTCGCGCGAGCGAAGCGTAGCCGAGCTGAACAGACCTCTCTTCCTTACTCTTTCTCTCTTTCTCTCTCTCTCTCTCTCTCTTTCTTTCTCTCTCTTACTCTCGTCCCCTTTTCTCCTCTCTCCCTGTCTGTCTCTGCTGCTCTCAAATCAAGTCAGTCGGTTCAGTCAGTCAATCAGTCAGTCGGTCACTCTTTTCTCCTCTCGCCTCTCTCTGTCCGTCTTTTTCTCTCTCTCGCTCTCTCTCTCTCTCTCTCTCTCTTTCTCTCTCTTTCTCCTTAAATCATTTCCCGGCGGTTTTCCTTCGGGATTTCCAAGCCACGGGCACGACCGACGACAACGAGGAGGACCACGAAGGGAGAGCACACTTCCCGGAGGCGGCTTCTTCTTCTTCCCGGAGCGGATTGCGGCCCTACTCTCGCGCGCGCGCGGCCAGAAGAGAGAAACTGCCCGGACCGAATCACGCCTCGGCTGCCATCTTCTACCTACGCCGGGAGTCTGGAGTATGAAAATATTCTCCGCTCCCTCTCTTTGTCCCCGCTGCCGCCCTCTCGACCCTCGCCATCTCCCTCCACCTGCTACACCAACCCCACACAGTCCTCCGCTCGCTCGCTCGCTCGCTCGCTTGCTCGCTCGCTCACTCGCTCTGTACCAGCGTTCTTCCTCGCGCGCGCGCGCGCGAGAGCGCACCCCCGCACAGCGCACCAGCAGCTTGGACCACCTCTTATCGATTCCTGCGCCATTTCCCGTCATTCCTGTCAAATCAATAACGCGCGCCGGCCGCGCCGGCGGCTTCCTCGCAACGCCGCGGGGGTAGAAGCGGCATCGAGATGCGAAATCCCCCGGCTGGGGTAGCGCGTAGGGTAAGACAGAGGACGGAGAGAGGACGAATCCTGGACCAGGTGGCGGGAGCTGCCACGGGCGGACTTGAAGATGGTGTTCCTGCCGTTTGGAGGTTGCGGGACGAAGAGTCGCGGAGAGTGCCGATGTGGATACGGAGAAGGTCTCGGATGAAGGGTGAATACGATGAGGAGGGTGGGCGGAGATAGAGCGAATGGGGAGACTGAGGAGCGGGGGATCTAGTATCTGTGGGACCCAAAGCTGAAGGAAGCGAAGGACTAAGGAGCTTACTCCGGGTTCTAGATTGCCTGGACTCTAGATTTTGTATAACCCCTGGGTGTCTTAGACCTTCGTGAGACCTGGGAAGTGTACGCGGTAAAGGAGAGAAAAAAAATACGAGAAAAAGGAACGAAGGAGAATGAAGAACGAGGGCGGAAGGACTCGCGCGTTTCTCGGATTTAGCTTCTCTTAGAATACGCGTCGGAAATATGTGCTTGAGTCGCATTTGACACATGGACGAACGAGTAATTATATTATATTAAAATCTTGATATGTTATTAAACGAAGAGCTCTGCACGGATAACGTAGGATGTAAAAGCCAATGCGATGAAGGAGGAATCAATAGTAGAGATTTCATTTTCGATCTCGCTTGACAGGTGAAGAAACCACTAATTGATAGGAGGATCATTAGCGTCAATCAAGCGAGTGAACTGTATATCAGAAGGTAAGGAGGCAGGAGGAGGGAAGGGAGAGGCAGATTAGGTGACAATAGTTGGCATGGAGCGCGGGATATCGGAGATGGTGGATCAGGTGGAGATTGTGGAAGAGTAGAGGAATTATTGCGAAGTGGTAGTGGTATGTGAAGAGCGTTTGAGATTGCTCTGAGTAAGAGGAGCTCTCTTCCTCTCCCTCTCTCTTTCTCCCTTCTTCTCTCTCTCTCTCCCTTCCTCTCTGTGGATGCTGTTACTACGAGGTAGCCGGAATGAAAAGAATTAGGGAGTCGAACTGGGTAGGGCTTGAAAAATTCCTGGAACGCGGAACGGTCTACGTAGGCGGCCGCTAAATGATTTAGGATCTGCACCACTTAGAATTTAAGAAATCCCGATTCTGAAGTAGATAGTTGCTTTACAACGGGTACGAAGCTTAAATTATTCACGCTGTAAGATATGTAAAAAAATGTCCAGGACTCGAACGACTTGGGAAGAGTCAAGAACTGTCAGATATCCAGAGATTGAGGATTACATATCCGAAAATGTTGGAATTCAGGAGGTAGAGTCTAATTTCAAACTCGGGAAACTCTTGGTAACTATCGGATTTTCGATTCGCTCAAATCTCTTCTAAAACCTAATTATCGTCGAGATCGTGAGAAGATATATGTCACTGGCATCAGTATATTGTTTCCATAATTTATCTTTCTGAGATTTATATATATTTTGTATCTCAAAGAAAAAATAAAGAGAGAGAGAGAGAGAGAGAGAGAGAGAAAGAGAGAGAGGGAGGGAGAAAGGAGGGGAAAAGGAGGAGAGTCACTCCCTTTCTGTATAACACGATTCGTTTCTCGTTGTTTCGCGTGAATTCTTGGGAAATTTATCAGCATAAGCATCAGCATCTTACCTGTTGGTCAATCCCGCAACAGACTGTCGTGTATCCCCGTCTTGGCGTCGCATTTCTAAATTTAACCCGTCACATCAGCTTGCGCAGCTCGTGGAAACAATCTAATGTCATTTATAGCTGACACAGCTGCTTCGTGTTCGCGGATCCATTCGGGAAACGAGTGTCGCGCGCAATATTGTTATCGAGATGTGGTTTTAACTACCTGATGAGTAAATTTGATGAAAACTTCAAGACTTTCCGAAGTAAATTATTTAGAGTCCAAGGAATTTCAGGTCAGAGGAAGCGAAAGCTCCGAACGACCGGTGCTACGTAAGACTTGGAGCTGTAAGAGAAGTTTGTGATTAAAAATTTCCAGAAAAGTAGAGAAATTGAATAAAGTAACTACGGATTTCGTATTTTTTTTTTTTGCTATTTGAAGAGAGCGCGCGATATTTCACAAATGGCGAAGCTTTATAACAAATGAAAGAAATAAGAGAAATCCATTTTCAATATATTAGCGAGACAATCGTGACTTGTATCGTTATCTGAGATGACAGAACAGTGGTGACACGCGATGAGGCTTTTGTAATAAGCGTAATAATCGATCCCGGCGATCTATAGGAAAGATGGGGAGCCAACATCGAGGCACGTGAAAGATTCATTCACGTGTTGGTCTAAATTTAGGTCGCCGCGTCGGCTGCACTGCAGACGATTCGGCTGGCGATTACTTATTTATAACGGGCAACGTGACGAGTAAAATAATGCAAAATTCCGCGCGCTTGTGTAAGCGCCAAATGTACTCTGCTGGCCATTAGAAAACACGAGTAGCGAAAAATTATTCTCTCACTTTGTCTGGTAACATTTTTACCGCTTAAAATTAAAAAAAAGAATATTCAATATGAGATTTAATTATTTCATAAATTAAAAAATGTGTAATTTACACCCACGTATTTTGCGTATTAGAGTGAATGCACTTGCTGCGCAATTCATATATAATTAGAAAATATAAATAATTAAAATAAAACTACTCCAAACTAATTTTGAATTACCGATTTCTCAATAATAATCGCTCAAAGCACACATTACAGAGTATAATTTATATATCGATATATCGATGATAAATATATCGATAGAAAATAATAATTATATTCGAAAAAGTGGTGCGACTATATACGTAGATAAATTCCTAACGAGAGGTAAATAATGTGTATGTGCAAACATAAAGTGATAATTATTTTCTAACAATAGAGAAAATCGTGCGCCCTACTCTTCCTCTCCTCACTTTTCTCCACCTATTCCTTTTTTCGTTTATTTATTTATTTACGTATAATAGTTACATTTTTACTGTATATTTATCTGTAGTCAAGAGAAACAGATTTGCGTTCACAGTGGAACTCACGCCGCGCGCAGAGTTCGCCTTCGCATTTTCCGCGGCGAGAGGAAAATAGTGAAGAAAAACGCTGTTTTTCGCGCCGGCGGAAAACGGAGTTGGCGCACAGTGTAAAGTTTGCCCGATTTAACTGAACAAAAACGCTTCACCTCTGGTCGCATGTGAATATGTATGGACATGATATTTAATTCTATGTATTAATTTCCCGACTTTTATATGATTATACCTCGTGTAGAATTTCGCTACAATATACGTATCTATATAGATATATTTTAATTAGTTAATTAAGCTTACGTAAAAAAAAATCTAGCCAAAAACATACAAATATTGAAATTTATTGATCTAACGTTGCACGCGTAACAGCTTGAAATGTGGTAATAATCGAGATTTTGCCCTTCCTTGATCACTGTGAAAAAAATATCAACTTCCGCAATGGAACTCTTTTGTTGCGACAACTAAGTTAAATTCCATATTATTAATTTCAAACGATTTAATTAATAGTATGTAATTTAAATTAGTTGTCGCCCAAACTAGAATTTCACCGTGAAAGTTGATGCTTTATTTTGCAATGATCAGAAAAGAACAAAATTTCGATCATTACTGCTTTTCGTGGAATTTAAATTTCATATTATTAATGTCGAAGGTGAAATTATATTTTTCCTCATTGCAGGAAATAACTAATTTTCAAAGCTTCCAATGCTCAAAATTTTTCCCTAACACGTGCATTTCGAAATTCCAGTCGAGTGAATGATTTAGAATTCTAAAAGAAGGAAACGGAAAAAATACAAAATATTCGTGTAAAATCAAGTAAAGCGTCTTTGTTCTTTTCTAGATCGGGCAAAAAATTCGCACACTGTACGACGGCGACAGACACATGCACCGGCCACTGAGACGAACAATCGTAACCTTGCGTCAATGTAAAGTGGCAGTCGTGTAAAAACATCCGTCTAACATTAAGTAACTTTATAAGCTCGACGTTAGCACGGAACATTCCTCCTCAACCATCGAGCAATCTTTCTCGGCATTATCCTGCGGCGTTTCTCAACTGATCCTTTTAAATAAACACATCGATCGCGTGTAATAGGAGGATCAGCCTTTTCTGCGAACGATCAGGTCCTGTCGGACCCCACGAGGGCTGCGTATATTTATCCCAAAGATCGTTTTGCGACTTCCTTTATACTTTTGGACAACTTTATCCGCAAGGAACGAGAAATTTCACTTTCATATTTTTTCTAGCTCGACGTCTCGATTTATCTATTCACGAATGAAGAAAGGGCTATACTTCAGACAAGTGGCGTGGGATCTGACCGGAGTACCCGAGTGGTACTCGAGAAAGAGCACCTTGACACGCGTACCCAGAAAAGGGTCAATGAGGAATGTCTACGATGGATATTATCCCATCGGAAATTATTTTGCACCGTTTTTTTGTTGGTGAATTTTTTCTATCGACGATTGTTGAGACGATAAGTTTAGATGATTTTTGAGAGACAGGACAAAAGAGACGTCTAATGATACCGAGTGCTCGAATTTTTTTAGGGGATTCAGGATTCGAGGAATTCAAGGTCGAAATAAATCCAGGCAAATGCGGATCTGAAGATCTGATAATCCAATTGCGCCAGAATCCAAAGATCCCAGAAAGAATCGAAAATTGA